TTTTATTGATTTATATTATCATATCATTAAAACAAATCAATAGGTATTCTTTTTAGAAAATTTATTGATTTTATTAATGAATTATTATTTCTGTAATATTATCATGTATAATGTGTACTACTGATATCAACATATATAAGTAGTATGTATCATCAAACGAAAATAAAATGTCTGGCAGTATTAAAAGGTTTAAGAAGATTAAACAAAATAGAAGAAGAATAGAGAATGATTGATGTAGAAACGAAAAAACAAACGATCAAATCTGAGATAATTAATGGACATATTACAAATGAAATATTTACAAAGAGATTCTGTAATTTATGTATTCATACACATTTAGTTGTTGTTGTTGTCCCGCCTACCCCCCTCCCTACCGGTGTTCTCGTTTACTACACAAAATCTCAGCACGGAATGGAAAAATTCGTTTAACTTTTGTAAACTTACATCACCTATAGCGATGACAAGATATCCGTCTATCGATTAAGAGCGGCAGTTTGTTCTGTTCTATTTTACGGTTGCGAAACATGGACATTAAGAGTTGAAGATACTCGTAAGCTACTAGTATCTGGACACAGATGCCATACAAATATCGCTGGCATTTGCTGAGATCACCGTGTAAGTACAAGTGAGGTTAGACGCAGGGTATTAGGGAATGATGGTAAATCAGTTGATGAGGTTATGAATATTCATCAATTGAGATGGTTGGGCCACGTGTTACGTATGCCTGAACACCGATTATCATGTCGCGCAATGCTAACCAGTGTTATGGATAATTGGAAGAAAGTAAGGAGCGGCCAAATCAAAACGTGAAATGAGTGCTTGAAGTCACTAACTTCAGGTCTGAGCCATGTTAGTAGATGTAGACTACTCGGTTGAGGTCTACGTGACTATTGTAACTAATGGTTGGAGACTCTTGGTGACATGGCTCAGAATCAATCACAATGGTGTAGGTGTATACACTATCTGTTTTCCTTTAAATTAAGAAATTGAAATCGCTTCATGTATTTCTTTCTACGTAATACATCTTTCTTCCTGTACTACCTCCTCATATGCAATCTTTCTTTTATATATTAATTCTATTGAATTAACTACTTCTATGAATTTGGTGTGCATCTTTGTTCACTTTTCATGTTACCTTGTCAGTAGAAGAAATAATTTTAGACTAGAAACTAATATCATATTTATCTAGTTCTTATAATAAAATGATAAACGTTTAATGCGCACACTGGTCTGAGTAACTTGACCAAGTATGTACAAGATTTTGATGTTATATAGATGAGGGTATGCGAAAGAATACTCTAGACCTTATTATATAAAACTATGAAGCTGAGCGATGTAGATTCAAGTCCTAAATGGATTATGCATTTCCTCATTACTGTAGATACAATTCGCTAATAAGTGTTAACTAATATTGAAAATAAATTCAATGTTTCCTTCAGACTAACTACAACCATCTAGCAGAAGGAATGATCTATTCAGTTGGTAAAGTTTGGTAAAAGGGGTTAGCATGAATTTAAACACTAAATCTATCTTTTTTTAAAAAAACAAAAGTTTCGTTTTAAAACTTTACTGTATTTTTAATAGTTAAGATCATGAGTCAATTAAAGCTAAATCACTATGGAAAACCTGAAAGCACTAACAGGCCATTTCATCCTCCTCTGAAACTGCTCATCAGTGCGCATCCTTGATCCCATCCCACGAGATTCAAACCCAAGATCTATCAGTTTCACGCGCGACCTCTTAACCTCTAGACCATTGAGCTGGTCGGCATCCAACAGGGTTATTGTCTCATTTCAACTGTATTTACTATTTCAATTGAGATTTTTGATGTAAATAAACTTAAGACAAAAGTGATAACATGTATTTATAGTTATTAAGTTGAAATATCTTCAACAGATAATAAGTGATCTTCGTTGTACTATTTACCAATGAACTTCTATTCGTTCTTTGATTATAAAGTAAAATCACTGATTGAACAAACAATATACTGGACTACCCTAATTGAATACTTCGTTCAATTCTTTCATTACATTTTTTCATCCGCGAATGTTATTATAAAATATTTTGTCCATCCAAAACTCATCCAATAAATCTCTTTTCATTTTCTGTTGTCCTAAAAGATTATCATTGAATAGATTTCTTTTGATTAGGTTACAAAATCGATCAAAAAGATATTATTATCATTCCATGTTAATTAATAAAGAGGTTTTATGTCAGCTAAAATGATTAAAATTTTAATCAACATACTTAGTTAACGCCTTTTCAATCACACCTAGGTGTGGTTAAAACGAAACCGAAATAAAAATATTAATTTAAGAAAGTATTGACAATTATGCTGAGAACAGAATGACATTATAAGTTAATGATCAGAAACTTGAGTTAAAATCAATAAGTATAGATACTTTATATGAGTATATTCTTTAGTTTTATACTGAATTTCAATAAAGATGAATGATAGCTAACAGTGAAATTTAGTTTGATGAATGTTCCGTTCTATTTGAGACTCATCAGTTGGATGTACTTGCATCTCAGGATTGATGTTCACTCTGTGACATGAACTCAGTACCGATCACTTCAAACGCCATCACGCATTATCCACTTAGCTACTCAATCCTGATAGCCACTTGCTTGTGTCATCAGGTGAAGTTTATATTCATCTGATTTGAATCTTCTCATTGTTATTTAGAACTGTAATTGATCAGTTAATCACTTATTGGCATATATGCATCCTGTGCAAATTGCCTAGTTATTACTTTAGTTCATAATCATTATAAGCCAATATAGATAGTGATTAACATTGGAATCTAAGACTCATGTTTCATCCTGTTTAGGATTTATCATCTAAATGTCGAAAGATTCAAATTAACAATACCAAATAAATCTGAATTTGAATAGTCATGTAACATAATATTTCTTTTCTCTTGTATTCACATAACTCTACCGATCAATGTTCAATGTTCTGTTTTAGCAGTAGTATCAGTTTTTTTTTTTTGTAAAATTTCTTGCTCTCATCAGTTGTATCCTTCTTTATAATTTATAAACACATAGGGATATATTTAGAATGAAAAAAAATTATTCCACAAATACTGAATTACTCTATCCTGACAATCATATTCTATCACATATTCTTGTAGTCTTTTATTTGATTGAATTGACTACTGATTTTATAACTGATTAATTTTCTTTATATAAAATGTTTTCAGTCAATATAAGTAGTATATTTCGTAATGTGATAAATTTTTCCTTCAGAACATTTACTCATTCTGGGATTGGATTAATAAACCATATTAGAGTTAGTGTAAAATTGTTACGTAATAACAAGTGGTAAATGTCAATAGTTGATATCATGAGTCAATTGAAGCTAGACCACCACCATGGAAAACCTGGAAGCATTGGACGGCCTTTTCGTTCTATTGCGGGACTCCTCAGCAGTGCGCACTCCTGACCCTGCCATGCGTGATTCAAACCCAGGACGTATCGGCCTTGCGCCAAGCGCTTAACCAAATAGACCACTGAGGTGGTCAGCATCCATTGGTGTTAATGTCTAACTTCAACTAATCCACGAAATTGAGTGACACATCCACCATTGTTTTCAGTGAGCTGATATCTCACAACAGACTTGGTTGAACTCTACTGATCACTGCTTCTTATTAGAAATTCAGGATATATCTCTTGATGTCAGTCACTAGTGAGCATATGTTGAGTAGTATCCAGGTTTTCCATGGTGGTCTAGCTTTAACTGACTCATGATCTCAACTATTGAAATTACTAAAATATCCACAAAATCCCCTCTGATAGAAATGGTAAATTGATCACTTGAGTTAGAAAACATATATCTTTACTTGTGTATACATTCTTAACTTGTTAGATTTAGAATTGAACATGTATTGCACTCTGGAGCATGACATTTACACATAACCATAATACAGTATTGATAGTAACAAAGTTTCTACTGTTGACGAGCATATGAAGAGATTGACGCGTCAAATCCATTCCATATTAATAACAACAGAAAAAACAGAGCAATTGAACACAATGATAATATTTTGTTGTTTGAACAGAATAATACTGGTTTCAAGTTGAAGTATGAACATCAACATTGCGAAAAAAACTTTCATCTAGCTGACGAATCTCAAGTAAAACGAATCATAAGTAGTAAATTGATTCGTTAGTTGCAGTTAAACAATATTAAAATAGTTATTCTTCTTAATACTAGAGAAATATATAAGTCAGCAATTAGATGGTGTTTGGAGGTAGTCAACAAGAAACCCTAGATCCTGGTTTTGTGCTACTTGGCACTCGTCAGCAAGGTGTACCTGTAATCTTGAGAGGACTGGTGCTCCCTAACGGATTCGATCCCAGCTTCATAAGTACAGATACACATTGCTGACAAGTGCAAAGTAGCACAAAACCCGAGTTTAGGGTTTCTTGTTGACTACCTTCAACCATCATCTTATCTCAACATAGTGCAAGCAATATCGAGTCACCTAGACTAGTGGCCACATTGCAACTTGATCGATAACAACCGATCTGCACTAATAAGAACTTAATACTCATAACATTGACCACCTTCCAGTGATCAATTAAGTTTGAACTCAGCAATTTAGTCATATTGTAGTGAACGACGACATATTTGGAGACAATCGAATGTATTTCAATACAAAATTACAAAATGTCTTAGTATCATCTGTGGATCATACAGTAAATTCTTCATTTGTAAAATATCAATCCATCATCTTAGATTTTATTGTTCCTTTGTTTCCACACCAATCATTCATTGTTCTCGTTCTCTTTTGTTTGATTCTTTTAACCTCCTAACGCCACTAGGTATTTCACTCATGATTAATGATATATACTACTTATATCTATCAACATCAGTAGCATACACCACAATAATTGTTGCTGAAAGAAATTAATCAATTGATTTTGTAAATTATATACACATAATGATATATCAGTATAGGATTGTGGAGATGATTAAGTTTTTGATTATACCAATCATGAATTGATTGGTATAAGACCATCATTGAAAACCTGGAAGCACTGAATAGCCGTTTTGTTCTATTGTACATCTTCTCAGCAGTGTACATTCACAATTCCGCTCATGGGATTCAAATCCATGTCGTCTAGTCTGACGTACGAATGCTTAACCTCTAGATCATTGAATCCGCTGAGGATTCCTACAATAGTGGTCTAATATTAATTAGTTCATGAATTTCATCAAAAAGACCTACTGAATTATTGATTTATTAATGTGAACTACAACTCAATCAATATTTTATATATAACAAATGTATTAACGTTTATTTCAGTATCTATCTATCTACATTAACAATTGAAAAGAATGGTCTCCAACGATGATCAATATTCTAATTGTACATCTCCAACTTTAAATAAAACAAATTATATATCACATTTTAATCGATTAAATTTACATGGAGATAATAAATCTAATACACCATGGATACGTGGAGAAGTTATTCATGAGGGAAGTGAGTGAAATTTTTTATTTTTTTGGGGGGGGGGTGGTTGTTACCATGTCAATTTGTTACAATAAACAATATGAGACAAGATTTAGTTTTGTATTAAGTCCTTTACAATGGATTGATCACTAGGTGGTGATCAATGTCATGCGTGTCTAGTTCTTATTATTAGTACAGATCGAATGCTATCGATCATGTTGAAATGTGGCCACAAGTCTAGGTGAATACTCGACACTGCGGGAACTATTGTGAGATTAGATGGCGGTTGGAGGTGGTCAACAAGAAACCCTGGACCCATGTTTCGTGCTATTTGGCACTCGTCAGCAAGGTGTACCTGTAATCTTTGAGGGAACTGGTTCTCCCTGACTCATTCGATCCCGTGTCACCCAGCTTCACAGTCAGAGATGTTACCACTGAGCTATCCGGATCGCGACTGACCTCCTGTAGGACTGAGATGTAATCAGAATTGATTGGTCACTAGGTGGTGATCAATGTCATGCGTGTCTAGTCCTTATTATTAGTGCAGATCGAATGCTATCGACCATGTTACAATGTGGCCACAAGTCTAGGTGACTACTCGATACTACGGGCACTATTGTAAGATTAGATGGTGATTGGAGGTAGTCGACAGGAAACCCTAGACCCATGTTTCGTGCTATTTGGCACTCGTCAGAAACATTTACCTGTAATCTTTGATGGAACTGATACATCTGACTGATTCGATCCCGTGTCACACAGCTTCACAGTCAGAGATGATGATATTTTAACATATAGTTAATGAATTATAAGATGACAAAAATGTTAAATATAACATAGCCTATTGATTATATTAGCAAGTATTGGTAAATACTTTCAACAATTGTCAATTTCTGATATCCTCTTTGAATAAAACTTGTCTTATATTCAACAACTGAGAATACATTTCAATTAGAACTTCAAGAGATCTTTTATGATTGATATTTAATATTACAAGGGGTTTTTGTGAATATTTATAGTAATTTTTAATAGTTGAGATCATCAGTCAATGGAAACTAAACCACCATGGATAAACCTGGAAGCACTCGACAGCTGTTTCGTCTTAGTGTAGGACTCCTCAGTACTTTATATCCATGATCCTACCTGCCTCGAAAGATTCAAACACAGGATCTATCATTGTCGTGGGCGAACGGTTAACATACTAGACCATTAAGACGGCATCCAAATGTGTGAATGTCTAACCACAACTAATCCACAAAATCGAGCAACACATTCATTGTTGTCATCAGTGAGTTAATATCTCATAACAGATCCAATTGTACTCCACTGATCACTACTTTTCACTAGAACACTCCAGGATATACCTTTTGAAGTTAGTCACTATTGAATATATGTTGATTCATATCAGAAGGAGTTTTTATGAATATTATAATAACTCTTTTATAGTTTAGTTCATAAGTTCCCTTTTATTTCATTTACGAAATAATATTGACTTAGCATTATTGATGTTGTGGAGATTATTAGATTTTTGATTAACATCATAAATCGACTGATGTTAAATCATTGTTGGAAATTCATCCATCATCCATCGTTTAAATCCCACGAGAGAACGGGATCGTAGATACACACTACCATTGAGGAGTCCCATACGAAGATAAAATGTTCATTCAGTGCTTCCAGGTTTCTAACGGTAGTCTGACATCAGTTAATTTTTATAATCTTAATCGAAAATAATGATTTCATATTATCAAAAATTTTTTTAAATCCCACATATATTAGTTATTTGTTACCTTGACAATTAAATCTTAGAATAAATATGATATTCATTCAATGTTTTTTTTCTCTTTTTTTTTCTAAAAACAAAAAAAAAAAAAAACAAACAAACATTATCTGTATCTCATTTAGTGATCCCTGTTGATAAAGGTTATATACAAAAAAATATATTTGGTCGACGTTATTATGGAAATAATAATATGAAATTTTATAATTCTCATAATATTGGAACTAGTGGGGGTGGTGTTGGTACTGGTGATGAAAGTGACGGTGGTGGTGGTGGTGGTGGTGGTGGTGATCATGATGGTGGTAATGGTAATGGTAATGGTTACAATTATTATAATCGTAAACGTGGTCGAATATACAATCGACATTATTATCATAGAGGTCAACGAGCTTATTATCATAATCATAATAATCATAATCATAATAGATCAAAATATCCATTTACTTGTTCCCCTACTATATATCCACTTTCACGTAGTCAATCAAGTTATAATATTAATTACAATAATAATCTTTATTTTCATGATTATAATAAAAATAATGAAAGAGTTCATTGTTCTTCAAATTATAGTTATATTAATAATAATGAACAATTAACTGATGAATATATTGATGATTGTTTATTCACAGATATTGAACAATATCAATTAAATTTAGATAATAATAATTATAAAATGAAACATTTAACTAAAATCAATAATCATGATATAAATCATAATGATAATTGGAATAAAGTTAAAACATCATCGCCGTCGCCATCGTCATCCTCATCGTCGCCGTCTTCGTCGTCGCCGTCGTCGTCGTCGCCGTCGTCGTCGTCCTCATCATCATCATCACCATCAACAGATTCTGATTTTGTATCAAATGATATTAGTCAATCATTATCATCATCATCATCATCATCATCATCATCATCACCATCAAATTCATCACCGACGTCGTCGTCGCCGTCAACAACATCATCATCATCATCCAATGATGAATATAAACAATTACAACGAAAAAGTAAAAGTTCATTGAATTTATCAATTTCATCTATGATTATATATGATACATATAAGAATGAAGATGATATAAATGTTAATCATCATATGAATGATAATATACAAAAACAAAATGAATCCATAGAATATAATAATGATCATAATAATAATCAGAAAGAAGGTAAAGAATATTTTAATGAAATATATCTATGACTTATTTGCCCCCAAATGCCCTGGTACGGCCGAGAGTGGGGAGAGTCCGCTCACCCACGTGTATATAGCCTCTGCCAGGGAAGTCCTACTCACTGCCTTCTCACAACAGGGGTGTTGTTTACGAAACTGAGAGGACGAAAAGCGAATGTCCGGCGCTATAACCGGATCCCAAACCAATGGTGCACATGGACTAGCTCCAGTATCCTGAAGGAACAAATGGCGTATGAATCAATTGTTGGTCACCGGCTACCATGGGACTGCATCTCCTTACGATACTCCACTGCCTTGTGGGTCAGACATTCAGGTCGAAGGCTCGGGGTGTGGCCCCCTTAGAAAACCACGTGCTTCGGTTTGGGCACCCGGGCAGTATCACAGCCCTCACACATATCAAATGAGATCTGTGTGGCGCATATGTATTTGGTGCCTCCTTGTACCAATATCTATGTGTTGAAATAAAATAAATAAATAAATAATGACTTATTTACATCTGTTATCCCTCATAGAAAAGTATAAACTACCAACCAACATTCTTTATTCAACTCTATCTTGGGTAATCGTTTCCAGTTGCTATTTATTTAAACCTATAGGTATTGGTACAAGGAGGCATCAAATAGATATGAACCATATAAATCATTCGACTTATATCAGGGCTACGATACTGTCCAAACTGAAGCAGGTAATTTTCTTAAGGGACCACATTCGGAGCATTTAATCTAAAGATCCAATTCATAAAACAGTGGAGAAACATTAGGAGATGCAATTCCATGGTAGCCATTCGCCAACAATAGGTCCATATACCATATGTTCCTTCAGAATACTGGAGTCAGCCCATGTGAACCATTGGTTGAGAATCAGAGTTTTCTAACTTCCCTAGGTGAATTCTCTTTGTTATCAACCAAGTTAAAGCGCTGATCATTCGCTTTTTGTTCTTTCAATTTTGTAAACAGCATCCCTACTTTGACAAGGTAGTAAGTAGCACTTCTATGGTAGTGGCTGTATACACGTGGTCATCTGAGAGCATTTCAAAGAGAGTTTGCTCTTTCCACTCTCCGCCATACCAGGGCATTAAGGGTTACATCTGTATTATTCATTGACATTATTTCTCTCTGCATTATTATTGTATCTGCTGAAATGTTTAACTGGCTTATGATTCATATTGGCGTATCGAATCCGATGATGTATAGTGAAAGCAAGATTGGTGATAAGGATTTATATGATAGCCGAAATAAATCAAAGTGATATATAAGTACACTACTTTTTAATATAGTTTTTATATAGTTAGATCAGCAGTCACATTTGTATAATACGATGTATCCACAGGAGGTAAAGATGAACTATAAACCCAAGGTTAGGGGTATCAAACGTCGATTCCCTACAAGGTTGTCAGTAAATGTAAAAAGATTTCGACAGTCATGGTCTATCTAGGTAGCCGGTATTGCGATAATCGCCTATGACTTGATTTACAACGGTTATGCCCGAGGGAAATATCATACACAAATGAACCGCATATAACTCAGAGAGCTGATGTTGATTAGGGAACTCCCAATGTCCTCTCTACCATTACACAACCTTTTTGATTCAGTCGGTCAGGAACAACCAAATCAAAGCATCTAAAGTAGCAACCAGACCTTAAAAAAACCTTCCACAACTCCTTCAGTCAGATCCGACTACTCGGATCTATTTTCAGAATAGTAAGTTTTTATAACAATAACTGTCATCTATCAAGTTGTATTTCCTCATTTCCACAGCTATTTGAATATTCCTCCCACTCTCTCACGTTGTCCAGATATTTCATGTACCTCTAAAAATTGTTCCTCTGGTTGTTAGAAAGAGCATCATCCTGATGATTTCTGAAGAATTTCAGTTTATATCCTGAGACGTCATAATTCTTCCTTCATCAACTCCTAGGTCAGAGTATAAATGGTTTAATTTGTTTAATTTAGCTGACTTGTCTTTTAGCAAGATTTTTCTCTACATGATTAGTTTGCTGACCTTATGTTTAACCCTCCTCCTTTACCTGATCTTGGGATCGGTAATAATTCTAGGAGAGTTATAGGTGAAGTTATCCACTGAATTAGATCTACCTATAAACATCACCATGAAACAAACCAAGTGTTTCTTTGAAAACATTCATGATTTTGTTTATTTGTTAACCTTTTAGGTAAATCTGGAAATATGAATGACTATCTTACTCTTGTTTGGGGTAAGTAAGGATTTTAAAATGAAAAAAAACTATACGGTTTTATGATTTGTCTTTATGACAATTATTGACCTGAGAATTGAGTTCATGCCAATCATCTTCATAGTGAGAGGCGGTAAGATTTCTCAGGTATCAGAATAGAGTAAATAGATTTATTGTTCATTAGAAAGTAATGTATGTTATACTGTTTAGTTCTTTATGATGATGATGATGATGATGACTTGTTTAGTTTAGTGTTTCATAGAATTCAATGATCACTGTTGATTGCATCGTCAGATATCAACTACACTGGATTACTCCATCAATTCATATACTAATATTAAGAATGTCTCACAATTGATTGATCACTAGATGGTGATCAATATTATGTGTATCAAGTCCTACTACCTTCAACTACCATAATCTTCATTTACATTACATCTCAATCCTACAGGAAGTCGGTCGACGTCCACATAGATCAGTGATAACGTTTTTGACTATGAAGCTAGGCGACACAAGATCAAATTCATCAGGAAGCACCAGTTCCCTCAAGATTACAATTACACCGGATTCAGGGTTTCCTGTTGACTACCTCTAACCATCATCTTATCTTTAGAATGTCTAGATAGAATCGGTCAGTGAACTTATGTAAAATGATACAAAGTTTTTGGTTAATGTTCCCCTCAATAACTTACATAGCTTAAACTTATAATCCGTTACTTTGATATTGGATACAATGATTCGTTGTAATTGTTCATAAGCTTAATTCCTAGTAATGAATTTATTTGGTATGATAATTATTCATTTATAAGTATTTGGATATGTATTAATGATGAATATCATCAGAAAGGGAAACCTGGAAACACTGGAAGAACGTTCTATCCTACTGTGGAATGCCTTAATAGTGTGCATCTACGATCCCGCCTTACGTTTTTCATAATGGTCTAGCATCAATTGACTCATGATCTTAACTATTAAAATTACTATAATATTCATAAAAACTCCTTCTGATATGAATCAACATATACTCATTAGTGACTAACTTCAAAAGCTATATCCTGGAATGTTCTAGTGAAAAGTAGTGATCAGTGGAGTTCAATTGGATCTGTTATGAGATAGTAACTCACTGATGACAACAATGTATGTGTTGCTCGATTTTGTGGATTAGTTGAGGTTAGACATTCACACATTTGGATGCCCGCTTAATGGTCTAGTAGGTTAAGCGTTCGTCCACGATATCGAAGGCCCTGGGTCGGAATCCCACTAGAGGGACCATGAATGCTCACTGCTGAAGAACCCCACAATAGAACGAAACGGTCGTTTAGTGCTTACAAATTTTCAGTGGTGGTCTAACATTAATCGGTTCATGATCTCAATCAACAACATAATAATCTTCACAACCCTATACTTACAAATGTTAAGGGTTAAATTCACTTTAACTCTGTTGTGTTTTATCTTGTTAGAGAATCTTCTAATGAACTTCCCGCCAATTTTCTATTGTTTTATCGATTTGTTACAAAGGAATAGCCATCCATTACTTCATCTATAGTTGAGCTTAAAACTATAAAACTAAGACTGTTTTAGTTTGATGCTTCATAGTATTCTCAATCTATTTAGTGTACAGTGCTGCCTATTGTTTAATGTAAGATCAATGATTTTAAATTAAAAATAACTATTAATGGAAAAGTGTTTATAACTAGTTGAATATAGGGTATTTAGTGGTTCCTAGTGTGACTGTTTTATTTCGAAATTAATCGTAACTTAGACCCCAAATGACATGGTACGGCTGAGAGTGGGGTGATTCCGCTCTCCCTGTCGAAATACTCTCACATGGCCACGCGTATATAACCTCTATCAGGGAAGTCCTACTCACTGCCTTCTCGTGGTGGGGGTGTTGTTTGCAAAAATGAGAGGACGAAAAGCGAATGTCCGGCACTTTAACCGGATCTCAAATCAATAGTGCACATAGGCTCCAGTATTCTGAAGGAACAAATGGCGTATGAACCAATTGTTGGTCACCGTCTACCATGGGACTGTATTTCTGTACGATGTTTCACTATCTTGTGGGCCAAACATTCAGGTCAAAGGCTCGGAATGTGGCCCCCATAAGAAAACCACTTGCTTCGGTTTGGGCACCCAGGCAATATCACAGCCCTCACACAAATCAATTGTGACTCATGTGGCGCATCTGTATTTGGTGCTTCCTTGTACCAATATCTATATGTTAAAATAAATAAATAACCCATCAATTAATATGGAATGATCGAGATTTAGGGAAAATAATTAGCTTGTGGTTTGGAGGAAAATAGAAAATGAACTCAACTTCATTGTTGTGATTGATTTTGAAACTTTTCATTAATCATCTTTAACAAGTATTGTAAGAAGCTCTATCAGGATATTATCAAATACGGATCTTGGTCATTTTATCGACGGTTTCATAAATTAACGCATATCTTGATCTTTACATGAGTGGTAGGTGTAGATTGGGATCGCACTTTTATCCTAATCACTTGATTAAATGAAGGAATATAACCTTATCAATAGAATTCCCTTTTTTAAGTAGAATTGTGTGCCCAGTCTCAAGATTAATCATTCGGTGATTCCACCATACATGAGCAATGCTTCTAGGACACTAATTTATGTCTTCTAATTTCAATGTCATCTTTACAATTGATTGATCACTTGGTGGTGACCAATGTCATGCGTGTCTAGTCCTTATTATTAGTGCAGATCGAATGCTATCGATCATGTTGAAATGTGGCCACCAGTCTAGGTGACTACTCGACACTGCGAGAACTATTGTGAGATTAGATGGCGGTTGGAGGTGGTCAACAAGAAACCCTGGACCCATGTTTCGTGCTATTTGGCACTCGTCAGCAAGGTGTACCTGTAATCTTTGAGGGAACTGGTTCTCCCTGACTCATTCGATCCCGTGTCACCCAGCTTCACAGTCAGAGATGTTACCACTGAGCTATCCGGGTCGCGACTGACCTCCTGTAGGACTGAGATGTATTCACAATTGATTGGTCACTAGGTGGTGATCAATGTCATGTGTGTCAAGTCCTTATTATTAGTGCAGATCGAATGCTATCGACCATGTTACAATGTGGCCACCAGTCTAGGTGACTACTCGACACTGTGGGCACTATCGTGAGATCCGGATCCAGGGTTTTCTGTTGACTACCTCCAATCACCATCTAATCAAAGTCATCTTTCACTGTCTTGTATTCACACAAAGTTAACTGCTGAGTAGCATAATTTCCACTTAATAAGCTAACACATAACTCGTTTCCATCAAACGGTTCATGACAAAAACTATGATAATTGTTAAATTCACGTGGTATTGTTTGACTTATATCATCCTATTGATGTTTAGAACTTTAAGTAAATCAATGGGAAGATTCAAGTAAAATAATACTAAGTGAATTTAAACTTCACCCTATCGCACAAACAATTGGCCATCAGGACTCATTATCTAACGCGATGGCATTTAGAAGGAACGATATTGGGTTCGAGTTCCAAAGTAAACAATAACTCTAAAATGCATTTATATTCATCTGATGAGTCCTAAAATAGAACGAAACACGTGTCAAACTGGATTTCATCGCTAGCGATTATCAATTTTTTTTTATAATACTTGTGAATTAAGGCAATATCGAAGCAATCATCTGCACAGTATGCACATATAGCAATAAGAGACTGACTAATCAATTGTAGTCTTAAATATCAATGAGAAGATTCGAGTAAAACAATATCAACTTCATCCTATTGAACAAACATGTAGCTATAAGGATTCATCATCTAACTAACTAACGCAATGGCATTTAAAAAGAACGATATTGAGTTCGAGTCCCGAAGTGAACATTAAATGTGAGATGCAGGTATATCCGTCTGATGAGTCCTAAAATAGGACGAAACATATATCCTATTGAATTTCACCGTTAACCATTATCTATCTTTACATATTATACAATACTCTAATCAAGTAAACTAATAATCATATTCATTTATTTCTATACATTTTAGATGATCTACCTGAAACATAAGAAAATATATAAATATGATAATTGAATGATTCAATGGTTGTGAGATTTTCTTCTTTATCCTCTTCTTCTTCTTCTTCTTCTTCTTATGGTTAATAAACAATCAACAACAACAAAAAAAGAGAAAAAAAAAAGTAAAGAAAACTCCCATATCAATATACCATAGAGTTTTTGTGTTTATGTCAAGTGAGTTTGTTTGTTTGTTTATTCTAAATGATGCTCATGATTATGGTAAATGGTTGTTTTGTTGAATAGAATTTCAAGTTCATAACGATGAGTATCAATTATGATGTTGATATGCAATTGTCATGGAATAGGTATTAGGTAAAGATAGAAAATCAATAATGCAAATATGTTTACGTTGTGATTCTCTCCCTCTAAATGTAAAATGTTACTTCAGGATTAGGTTGTACCGACATCTGAACTAATGATAGAGAGTGAAGTAGTTGAGCTTATGAACCGCCTCATTTATCTTGAAAGTTACATCATCAGCCTTTGTGGTCTAGTATGTGACGAAATCTCAGCATGGATACAGAAAATGCGATTAGCTTTTACCAACTTGCATCATTTATGGTGTAGGAAAGATATCCATCTATCGAGCAATAGTTCTTTCTGTCCTAATTTATGACAGTGAAACATAGCCGATATGAGTAGAGTATATTCATAGGTTACAAGTATTTGATAGTAGGTATCTTCGAAGCATTGCTCTTATATTATGAGACCTCCGAGTAAGTAATGCAGTTGTTAGGAAATGAATCCTAGGTAAGGATGGTAAATCAATTGACAAAGTATTAAAACTTTCTCAGTTGAGATAGCTGGAACATGTGTCACGAATGTCCAACCACCGAATGCCCTGGTAAGCAATGTTTTATAATGTAGGATTAGGTTGAAAGAAAGATAAAGACGTCCAGATCAAAACATGGCACAATGCCATGAAGTCACTCACAAGTGGAATGAACCATGTTGGTAGGTGTAGACTACTTGGTTAGGATCTGCGAGACTTTAGCAACCAATGGTTAGAGACTTTAAATGACATGGCTCACAATCGTAAGCAGTGGAGCAAGTGCATCCACTCTTTGTGTTTTACCAAATTCTAATCTTCTCAATTCTTCACGTCCCTTTCTATTGTCACTTTCGAAATTTATTTCACTGGATTATACTCCTTAAATAACATCTTCAAACCCTAATGTTTCCGATTACTACTTATACATTTACTATCTCTACCACTGTTGGATTTGAATAGACAATTGTATATCTGTGCTCATGTGGTATGACAACTGGAACTGATGTATATAGGTTAGAATTTCTACGTTGTTACTGACTGACTGACTGATATGTAAGGTAAAATTATACTGATCATCAATTGTCTAAAATCTATAGGGTAATGCAAAATGAACTAATCTGATTAAGGTTACAAAAATGTCCTATATAAATCAATTTGATGATGAAACAAATAAAACGATTGGGTAATGGCGAGTAATGGAATCTATTTTCATGAGTGTTTCATCCTATTTGGAACATATCAACTAGATGTATTTGCATTTCACAGTTGATATTTACTCCGGGACTCGAACTCTGAACTATGGAAGATGGTCACGTAATTTCGTGGATTGGTTGAGGTTAGACATTAACACCGTTGAATGCCTGCCGGTTCAATTGTCTAGAGATTAAGCGTTCGTGTGCTAGATCGAAGGCCATGGGTTCGAATTCAGCGGGGCGGAATCGTGGATACGCTCTCCTGAGAAGTCCCATACAAAGACGAAACGGCCGTCCAGTGCTTCTAGATTTTTAATAGTGGTCTAACATCAATCGATCCATGATCTTAATCAATCACTTAAAGATCACTACAATGTTGTTTTTCTGTTTACACTTAACAAAGAATCTACTAATATAATATTTACAATCTATCATTTTAATATTTGTATATTTTGCTCAAACCAAGTCATTACCGTTACCAATATCGAATCATTATGTAAATAAAATGAAAAAAAACTCATCTAGAGTTTCATTTTAAACATCTATTTAAAATATAAACATATAAACATTGGTACAAGAAGGTACCAAATAGATATGCACCATATAAATCATTCAATTTGTGTGAGGGCTAGGATACTACCTGGGTGCTCAAACCGAAACAAGTGGTTTTCTTAATGAGTCACAACCGTAACCTCCCACCTAAAGGTCTAATCCATAGGGCAGTGGAGCAACGTCAAGAGATACTGTTCCATGATAGCTGGTGATTATCAATAAGTTCATACACCATTTGTTCTCCTAGGATTCTGGAGCCAGCTCATATGTATCATTGGTTTGGAATGAGGGTATTCCAACTCTCCTAGGTGGATCTACCATAACCACTGACCTAATGAAAGCGTTGGACATTCGCTTTTTCTGTTGTGAATTTCGTAAACAACACCCCTTAGTGTGAGGCATTGAGTAGAACAACGGGAATCAATCCGTCCGCCAATAAAAAAGGGATCATATCAACCTGATTTGTACTAATCTATTAGCATTAATGATAAGTTTTAATGAATTACGTTAAGTCAATTAGAATCAGATCACTTATTGTTCATTAACTAATGGTATTGGAATTTATTGATTTTACATGTTTGTTTAGAATAAATTACATTTTTTGTTGTTTATAAAATTCACGTGAAACTGTATTTTATGGATGACCTTTAATTGACCTTGAATGTTCATCTAACAACTAGGATTAAATGAGCATTATAAACCATAGTGTGGAACTAGAATTAAGATTTACTGTTGATGGTCAAGGGTTACAAATACAGTGGTGTTGAGTGCTGTTAGAGGAGATATGAGGGAGGTTATCACTTCCCTGTTGCTCAAACCGTCAAAGGGTTCTTCTAGAGGTAACTGAAAAGGAATTTGGATTAGAGGTGGTCTTAATGACGTGATAGCGTGACCGCAGTGCCCAAGGGACAACTGCTTGAGGTCGGTAACACACGAATTTTTTGTGGGTAATTTTCTTGTTAGCTTCGTACTTGTTGAAACCTTACCGCCGGAGACGGATATCCGTGAGATAAGCTGAGATGTGCATTTTTAGGGTCAACCTTTTCTAACCCCACCACTTCAAGGTAGCAACAACGGTCAGGTTATAAATTAGATTTAGTGGTGGTGATAGTTGGGGTTTCATCATCAATTAATATCAGTTAAGATCTCAAAAACGCTCTTAAATCAAATGAATGAATGAACTTTGTTCCAAAACTCAAAACTTATTATCTTATATCTGATTGATTGGCTGTTTCGTCCTATTTTAGGACTCCTCAGTGGCAGTTCACATCCACGATTCCACTCGTAGGACTCGAACTTAAGCCCTTCAGTCTGGCACGTGAAAGCTTAACCTACTGGACTACTGAACCGGCCTGTATCCAACGGTGTGTTCATATCTAACCTCAATTAATCGGTTCATGATCTCAATCAAAAACTTAACAATCTCCACAAGCCTTAAACTGATATTAATTAATTATTCTTTTTTAAATGATTACATTATAGATATGTGTTCTTTTCCAATGAACTCATTCAAAGAATCTATTCATTCTTTGTGTTCAATCAAACTTCAATAAAACACAAACATATCATAATCCTTTTTTTTTTCAATGTCATAATAAACAAAACATTAACCTAGTAACTAAGATGGTAATTTTTCAAAGTTTCGTTTAATTCTACCGACTTACTTACTTATTTATACCTGTTACTCTTCCAGAAGAAGTATAGATCGCCCATGAGTACACATCATCACCATCACCATCATCATCATCATCATCATTATCTAACCTTATCATGGGTAATCTTCTTTCAAATTATTACTTGGTACTTTGGTTTAATTTATAAAAACCAAATTTAAGATAAACAATTTTATCATTGTGATCTTATTACATAACCTTTAATAGGTTTATGTTTTGTTTTTTTTCGAAGATTTTGCATTTTGTATACATATCACTATTAATATTGTGTCTTACTTTATTTGTATTTCAGTTATTCTTTCACTGTATTCTTATTAATAGTGATTTCATATATGATGAACAAAGGTTTTTCACAGATATATATAGATATATGATGATGAATTGTATTAAGATGAACAATAACATACTACTTATTAACTGATGATAAGTTTATATATGTATGTATGTTATGTGTCTGTAAGATCAATGTTCAGTATTCCACCCCCCCCCCACAAACACAAACCCACACTTTCATAAATATAATAAATAATGGAAAAGGATTCTTGTATTAAGGATGAATTCTTACAAGTGTTTATTGTGTGTTCTATGTTTATAAAAGTGTGCAAATATTAACATTATCACCACCACCATGATGATTATCATCAATGTAATCATTACTCAATAACTTATATGTTAAAAGAATATTAACTGAAGAAAGATGCTTAATTCAAGTGTTTTCTTTTATTGAGATCATGAACCGATTGATGTTAGACCATCATTGAAAACCTGGAAGTTCTGGATGGTCGTTTCGTCGCATTGTGGGACACCTTAGTGGCGATGCGCATCCACGATCCCGCTCGCGAGATTCGTACCCAGGGCCTTCAGTCTTGCGCGCGAACGCTTAATCTACTGGGCCACTGAGTTGACCAGCATCTAATGGTGTGTTAATGTCCGATTTCAACCAATCCACGAATTCGCGCAACCATCTTCCATTGTACTGAGGTAGACACCTGTTTCTACCCGACACCGATTAGCTCTTTTGTATAAAGAACGTTGCAAAGTAAATATTAGTTTATCTTTTTGTTCAGAAAGATCCTAACATTACATTTACGGAATAACTCGTGTGTTACAAGGGATTATTATGGTTAGAAACAAATTTCTAGTCAAATTTTGAGGCTTGAAAAACAGGCGACTACTTATAAATGTTTATAAGTAGTTAAACGTTGTACTTAAAATTAATGTGTTAATATACATTCTTATCAGAAGGGATTATGTGGAGATTTTAGAGATTTCACTGGTTGAAATCATGAGTCAATTGAAGCTAGACTACCATGGAAAACCTGGAAGCATTGGACGACTGCTTCGTCCTATTGTGGGGCTCCTCAGCACTGCGCATCCACCAGTGAAATTTCTAAAATCTCCACACAACCCCTTCTGATAATAATCATCTGCTCACTAGTGACTGACTTCAAGAGATACTCCTGGAGTTCTAGTGAGAAGCCGTTACCAGTGGAGTTTAACCAGGTCTATTGTGAGATATCAACTCACTGAAGACAATCGTGCACGGTGGCAGAACTTCGTGGATTGTTTGAAGTTCAGTGGTCTAATGGTTAAGCGCTAGCGCGCGAGACTGGTAGGTTCTGCGTTCTTATCTCGCGGGGATCGGGATCGTGGATGCGCACTGTCACTGAGAAGTCTCATAATAATACAAAACGGCCGTTCAGTGCTTCCAGGTTTTCCATGGTGGTCTAGCTTCAATTGACTCATGATTTCAACCAGAGTAAAATACATTCACTTTGCCGGTTATAATGAAATTTGTTGAAAACAGTTTTTGTGATTCAGATTGAATTCAATGGAGAGAAATAATAAACCAATCAGTCAACATACATCACAATCAAGACATAACCTATAGTAGCAGAAGCAGTACCTGTATCAGTGGTAGTAGAAAAGACATAAGAAACCGATAAAAACTCGATCAAATCAAGTTTAGAATATAAAATACTAGAGGCTGTTCCAATGATTTAAGTATATCACATACATTGAATGATCTAAAGAGTTTGAGTTTTATTTCGTTGAGATTTAAGTGATAGACAGATGAGAAGTCGTAAACCATGAAAAAGACGTGATCAGGGGAGTTTAAGTGTATCGGGTGTGTGTGGTGGTTACAAACCAACGGTATCGGGAGTTCGAAATGTAAACCATTATTTATTGAGTCAGTGACATGAAAGATTCATTATGAGACCAAGAAAGTCCTATACTTGATCATAAAATTGTGGAAACAAATTATTGATGAGTTTCAGGCTAAAAATGAAATAGCCTTTCAGTACATCCTAGTAAGAAAATTAACTGTATAGAGTAGGTATCTGTCGGTTTATCACAACGACTTGGCTGTAGTCTTGGAGATGTTACAACTCAGTAAATTGACACTTTATTAAACATGAATTAGAAAAGAAGCCAGTAGTTATCTTGTTGTCGTTTTCTGTTATACTCTATATAAAAGTGAGGTAAACCTAGTTATTCTTAAATGAACTATTTTCATTCGCTTTCTTCACTAACTTCATTTCATTGATTTCTTAACCAGATTATCATTTCATTTGTGTGATGCAATCTTTCGTGTTGAGATGGTGGAGAAGATTTGTAGCTCAGGTGAATGATTTTGATGGAAGTTTGTGCTGATGATGTCGTTCAGTAGAACGATGAAAGCTCCACGACCAAACCATTCAGCTCAGAGAACAAAACTCCATCAAAATCTTTGGTGTTTTAATGTATCAACCTTTATATACATTGATTAAACAAATCAACAAAATATTATAAAATTCAACCCATCAATGGTATGATAAGACGATCATTTTATGATAACTAGAATAACAGACATATCCCTTAAACGGCTAAACGTCATCAGTTCAGCGATATCCAACTCTCAGAGGTTCATCAGTTTATGTCAGTATATTCCTATAAGTAATATGTAATGTCGGTTATTATGTTAAGCTCATAGATCCCTTATTGTAGCTTTCGGATAGGCCAATCTATTAATCTTATTTAAGTCACGTTTTGACCGTATCAGTTATCTGAACGCATATGTGTGTGCGTGTGCTCTTCTTATCCGAATTCATTACATATCTGTAGCTTCATTCTGTATAACTATAAATATTGATTAACGCTTGACTAAAAAGGAAAGTTGACTCATAAACCTTCCTTCACTGAGAGTCAGTTCACTTCGCTTCTCCGATATTTTATCTAGACCAAAGATTGTATGGAATATACATATTCAAAAAATCCATTCTTGTTATTTGACTTATTTCATTCCACTATGAACTAACGTGATTTAAGTTGATAATCATATCTACGAAGATAGGCAACATATCAATCTTAAGATTTTTCAATCAATTATTTCAATGATTGAGATCATGAGTCAGTTCAAGCTAGATCACCATGGAAAACCTGGAAGCACTGGACGGCCGTTTCGTCCTATTATGGGACTCCTCAGCAGTGCGCATCCACGACCTCGCCCCCTGCGAGATTCGAAACCAGGACCTACTGGTTTCGCGCGCGAGCACTTAACCACTAGACCACTGAGCCGGCCGGCCGGCAAAGTGTGGCAACTGTTTGTTGCAATGTGGAGGTGCCGGGCCCCCAAATGCCCTGGTACGGTCGAGAGTGGGGAGAGTCCGCTCTCCCTCTCGAAATGCTCTCATATGTATTTGGTGCCTCCCTGTACCTATACTTATGTGTTAAAATAAATAAATAAATAATAACATATCAATATGTATTTCAACAGTAATCATTCAATAATCAACATGTATACAATCTAATTGGAATTAGATCTCAGGTCAGTAAAACATATTTGTCAGAATTTTTTCACAATCATATAGATGTATTCATTGTTGATTAGATTATGAACTATAGGATTTCTTTCATATGTAACTCTATACTCTGTTATTTTGAATTATATATTTTAATAATTGATTTTTTCCCCCAGTGTCATTGTTACCACGGTGTGGATAACCGGGAAGGGATAACCGCACTTATACCTCTTTAACAGCACTCAAGACCATTGTATTCATTGCTACCACAATGATTTATATCTATTCACCTATTCATTTAGTTAATCATCTTATCATGGTAATAATGATAAATAACAACTTAGAATAAAACAAATCTGTATTAGGTTTTATGTTGATCACTACAAATCGGTAAGTTATTTCCTAAGCACAGATGAGTGAATTTCGCTGTAAAGGACAATTCATAGATGAAAACTATAAAATACTATTTGAGCTGAATTATCCAAATAGAATGAGACTTGAAACTAAAACCTATATGAACAAAGATGGATAGTGGCTAGCAGTGGAATCCAGTATGACGCGCGTTTCATTCTATTTGGGACTAGTCAGCTAGATGTACCTGCATCTCAGAGTTGATGTTCACAACCTATATGATTGAAAACTATGCATATTAACCATTAAACCACCATGATATAAGAGAACGATAGTAAATCAGTTGATGAAGTTGTAAATCTTTATCGATTGAAATGGTCAAGCTATATGTTACGTATGCTTCAACACCAATTACCATAACGTGCAATGCTAATCAATATTGGAGACGGTTGGAAAAAATTTAGCGTCAACCAAATCAACACTAGTTATCAGTGTTTGAAGTCACTAACTTTTAGTCTTAGCCATGTTGGTAGATGCAAACTACTTGATTGGAATCCATGTGATTATTGTAACCAATGGTTAGAAACTGTGTGTGACATATCTCAGAATCCATCACAATGACGTCAGTGTATACACTCTTTGTCTTCTCTTTAAACTATGTGATTAATATTGCTTTATATCTTTCTTCTTGTATTACTACCATTAAATGAACTACTTCTATGAATCTAATGTTTATCTTGTTATGCTAATGAAGGTTTGGTATATATGTGCACCTAGTCTTACATCGTACCTGACTCACTGACTGACTGACTAGATACTATGTTATTCAATATACAATGATCATCTCTTTTATTACATAATAACAATCTTTTGATTCATATTCTTCCTTCTTCTTCTTGTTCTTTTTTGTCGTCGTCGTTGTTGTTGTTGTTGTTGTTGTGGTGGTGGTGGTGGTGGTGGTGGTGGTTATCATAAACATAAGATCCAATTATATTCATTAAACATATATATATTCATTTTATAATAAATAAAATAGATTATACATAAAAATATAAAATAGATTTATTATTCTTATAGAATAAATTCATAATTATGATTAGAAGAATTAAGTTTTATGAAAAAATTTTGTAATCGATTGTACACCTTTTACAAGTTTAATTTTCTTTATAATTGGCTAAAATAAAATTAAATGAATGAAATAAACAAAATTTAAACAGAATAATACAATGATTATTATTATTATTATCATTTAGAATATGAAAGTATTGAATGTTCTGTTGGTCTTAGAATAGGGACTACTCAGAAGTATATATTCATAGTTTTGAATTGCCGCCGCCTACCCACCCCCACAAATGCCCTGGTATGGCCGAGAGTGGAGAGAGTTTGCTCTCCTTCTCGAAATATTCTCATATGGTCATGCGTATATAACCTCTAACAGGGAAGTCCTACTCACTTCATTCTCGTGGTATTACTGTTGTTTACGAAAATGAGAAGACGAAAATTGAATGTCCGGTGCTTTTCAACCGGATCCCAAATCAATGGTGCACATGGACTAGCTCCAGTATCCTGAAGGAACAAATGACGTATGAACCAATTGTTGCTCACCGGTTACCATAGGACTGTATCTCCTTACGATGGTCCACTGCCTTGTGGATCAGACGTTCAGGTCAAAGGCTTGGGGTGTGGTCCCCTAAGAAAAGCACCTGCTTCGGTTTGGACACCCAGGCAATATCACAGCCCTCACACAAATCAATTGAGATTGGTGTGGCGCATATATATTTGGTGCCCTCTAGTACCAATATTTTTGTGTTCAAATAAATCAATAAAATAGTCTTGAACCAGAAAATCCAAGACATAGAACATTTAATGTTACACATATAGATGGCTTAACCTTTAGTCCATTGAGCCGAAACCCAATTGTGTGTGTGTGTGCGTGCATAATTCTAGTCGATTCATCATATTGCCAAAAAGCTAAGAGCGGTCAGTTTAAAACATAGCACAATGCTATGAAGTCACTGACAAGTGGTAGGTGTAAACTACTTGGTTAGGATCTGCGAGATGATAGCAACCGATGATTAGAGACTTCGAATGATATGGCTCAAAATCGTTTGCAATGGTGTGAGCAGGTACATCTACTCTTTATATTTTACCAAATTCTAATCTTCTGAATTTTTCATGTCTCCTTTTCTCTCTTTCCAAATTTATTTCACTGGATTATACTCCTTCAACAACATCTCCAAACCCTAATCTTTTCGATTACTGCTTATACTCTTACCACCTCTACCACTACGGGATTTGAATAGACGACTGTATCTCTGTGCTAATGTGGTATGACAACTCGAACTGATGTACGTACGTATGTACGTACGAAGTACTACGTTGTTACTAACTGACTGATCTTCTTTTACCTACGATGAATAACTGTCTCACAATCAACATGGTTAAACTTTATTGATCACAGCTTTTCACTAGAACTTGAATTATATCTAGAAGTTGATCATTAGTGAGTATATGATTATCATAAATAAAGTAGGATTTATGAAATTTGTCTAATATTAAACACGAAGCACTAGATGGCTATATCATCTTACTAGATGTAGTGCCTTAAATCATTGTGTGAATATGACATATACATATATGCTCGAAAGATAAACAATTGTAAATTACAAGTTTACAATAAAATGGTTGTTAACTTGGGAATTATTTATTTATTTTAAAACATAGATTTTGGTACAAGGAGGCACTAAATACATATGCGCCACACAAATCTCATTTGATATTTGTGAGGGCTGTGATACTGCTCGGGTGCCCAGACAGAAGCAGGTGGTTTTCTAAGGGGGCCACACTCCGAGCCTTCGACCTGAAAGTCTGATCCACAAGGCTGTGGAGCAACGTAAGGAGATGCAGTCCTATGGTAACCGGTGAGCAACAATTGGTTCATACGTCATTTGTTCCTTCAGGATACTGGAGCTAGTCCATGTGCACCATTGGTTTGGGACCCGGTTAAAGCGCCGGACATTCACTTTTCGTCCTCTCATTTTCGTAAAGAACAGTAATGCCACGAGAAGGTAGTGAGTAGGTCTTCCCTGGCAGAGGCTATATACGCGTGGCCATGTGAGAGTATTTCGAGAAGGAGAGCGAACTCTCCCCACTCTCGGCCGTACCAGGGCATTTGGGGGCTACTTGGAAATTAATGAGTGGTAGTTGTTTAAACCGATAGGATTTATATGCATTTGGCTATAACAACAATAGTGCCAACTATATCATCATCCATAGATTCGTTTATAAGTAAAAATATTATTTTTATCGACTAATTAGCATAGAGTACTTCGATCAATGTAAAGTAGAAATTCATGAATCATAATAAGGAAGAACAAGGTTAACTGATTAATATTTGTGCAAACATTTATCAGACTCAATCACATGTATAATATTGTATATGCCCTGGTATGACTGAAAGTGAGGAGAGTCAACTCTCCTATGGTCACATACATACAACCACTGCCATGGAAGTTCAACTCATCACTCCCTTCTACCGGTGGAATTGTTGTTTACGAAATTTACAAGAAGAAAAGTGAGTATCTGATGCTTTAACCAGTTTGGTAGATATAGAGAATCCAACTGGGCTACAGGATCGTGCGGGAACAAATGACATATGAATCCATTGTTGATCACTGGCTACTATGACACAGCATCTCCTAACGTTGCTCTACTGCCTTGCGGATTAAACCTCTAGATCAAAAGCTCAGAGAGTAACCCCTTAAATAAACCACCTGCTTCAGTTCAACCAACTAGGAAGTATTTCAGCTCTTACAAAAATCGAATAAGTGTGGAACATGAGTTGATATAAATTGTGGTAAATCCGTTCTCCTACCCCCTCCCGCCGCTTTAGTATATTCATATAACTCTCTAATCATTATACAGTATCTCCCAGGTTAAAGAAAAACAAAAACAAAACAAAAAAGACAACCGAATGAGATTTACAAAGCAACAAAGACAACAACAACAACATACCTCATTGATCTTTGATTCATTGGACTTGAATGCTGAAGAATAATCTTCTTTAGGTTGATAATTCTTCGACTTATATAAATATTATAAAAACATAAAGTTAATTAATCAAACAATGACTTGATTAAGATGAATAGTATGGTAAAAAAGTTAATAAATGATTTAATCATTTCAATTGAACAATTGTCTGAAAAAAGGATCAATTAGGTCATGACCTAATGTGACAGTATTTATGTATTTATTAAACATATAGGTTTTGATTGAGATCATGAATCGACTGATGTTAGACCACCGTTGGAAACCTGGAAGCACTGGACGGCCGTTTCGTCCTAGTATGGGACTCCTCAGCAGTGCGCACTCACGATCCCGCTCGCGGGATTCGAACCCAGGGCCTTCAGTCTCGCGCGCGAACGCTTAACCTACTCGACCACTGAGCCGGCATCCAATGGTGTTAGTGTCTAACATCAACCAATCCACTAAATTGCGCGACCATCTTCCATTGTACTGAGGTAGATACCTGTCTCTACCCGACACGGATTAGCTCCACTGGTCACGGCTTCTCAGTAGAACTCCGAGAATTCCCTCACGAAGCTAGTCACTAGTGAGCACATGTTAATTATCAGTATTGGGGTTGTGGAGATTATTAAGCTTTTGATTGAGATCATATAGGTATTGGTACAAGGTAGTAACCAAATATATATGTCAACATAAATCATTTGATTTGTATGAAGGTTGGAAGACTGCCCGGGTGCCCAGATCGAAGCAAATGGTTTTTATAGGGGGACACACTTGAAGCTTGCAACCTAAAGGTTTAATTCGATCTATAAGGCAGTGGCGCATTGTAAGCAGATGCAGTCCCACGGTAGTCGGTGATCAATAATTGGTTCATACGCCATTTGTTCCTTCAGGATCTTGGAGTCAGTCTATGTGCATCATTGATTTGGAATCAGGGTATTTCAACTCCCCTAGATGAACTCTCCATACCCACTAATCTGGTTAAAGCGCCGGACGCGTTCGACAGATATTGTAGTACTAGCTGGAGACTTGAATACTCAGGTCGGGCGTCTAGGCACAGAAGAGAGTCGTTTAGGTGGCCGATGGGGACTCGTTGGTCGCAGGACAGATAACGGGGAACGTCTACTGCAACTGTGCACAGACCACAACCTGTTTCTGGCTAGCACAAACTTTCGTCACATTCATCGCTGATGTGCCACCTGCAGTCCTCCATCTGCATCCCAAGCCTGGACTCAGATTGATCAGATCGCGATCAGCTACCGCTGGCGTGGTTGTGTACAAGACTGCTGCTCCTTTTGGAGTACCTATCTGGATCGACTGGATCATGAATACATCAACATCTGAAGGGAAGCACGGGATACAGTGGACAGCTAGGATGCAATTGGATGATCTAGACTTCGACGATGATCTGGCTCTTCTATCGCATACGCAACAACAAATGCAGGAGAAGACAACCAGTGTAGGTGCAGCCTCAGCAGCAATAGGTCTCAATATACAAAAAGGAAAAAGCAAGATTCTTCGATACAATACAGCATATAACAATCCAATCACAATTGACGGAGAAGCTTTGGAAGATGTAAAAACCTGTACATATTTGGGCAGTATCATCGATGAACACGGTGGATCTGATGCAGATGTGAAGGCACGGATTGGCAAAGCAAGAGCAGCATATTTACAACTGAACAACATCTGCAACTTAAAACAACTGTCTGTCAACCAACACCAAAGTCAGAATTTTCAAAACAAATGTCAAGACAGTTCTACTGTATGGGGCGGAAACCTGGAAAACCACGAAAGCAATCATCCAGAAGATACAGGTGTTTATTAACAGTTGTCTACGCAAAAAACTTCAGACCCGCTGGCCGGACACTATTAGCAACAACCTACTGACGTTAGCAAGCTGGTTGCAACTTCTGTTGCTAGTAAGTACCGAACCGAGCTAGCTTCTAGGCTAGCTACCATTCCACCGAAAAGTATAGATGAGCATTGGTTGCAATTGCATGACGCCATGAAAATGGCGGGTCAAGTCTGTTGTGGGTCTGCGAAACGTCCCGCTTATAAGCACTGGGTTTCTTCTGGTTCCTTACAACTGATTGAAGCCCGTCGGTCTACTCCGGGTGACCGTGAGTTTGACCACAGACGAAGGATGTTACGTAATGAAATCGGGCAAAGCTTGCGTAAGGACCGAGAAGCCTGGTGGTCGGAGCGTGCCAGTGAGTTGGAAGCAGCAGCTGCATCTGGTAATTACCGGAAGCTCTTCCAACTCATCCGAGCCACTGGCAGCAAGAAGTCTGGTGTGAGCGAAACAATCTGCGAAGATGACGGAACGCCAATCACTAACATCCATCAACGTTTTGGACGATGGGCAGAATTTTTCGAAGGGCAGTTCAACTGGCCTGCTGCTCCGGAAACATCGGTCAGACTGTCCTGCCCTCCATGGCCGGTGACGACTGATCCATCAAATGAGGCGGAAGTCCGCAAGGAACTCCAACTCTTGAAACGTTACAAATCACCGGGCCCAGATGACTTACCTCCGGCTCTTTTTAAAGATGGTGGTGACTTTCTGACTAAGGGACTGACGACGTTGTTTACAAAGTTCTGGGAACTAGAGAGTGTACCAACGTCATGGATTGGGTCGATAGTTGTCCCTATCTTTAAAAAGGGTTCACGTCGTTCCTGTAACATCTATAGGGAGATAAGTCTACTTCCGATTGCTTCCAAGCTATTGACCACCCTTTTACTTTGTAGGTTGTTCAAAATCCGAGAAAGATTGACTCGCGAGGAGCGGGCTGGGTTTCGTTCTGGTCGAGGATGTATTGATTATATCTTCACCCTCCGCCAAATGTTAGAACACCGTCATACTTATCAGAGGCCAACAATCGTAGTGTTTCTTGATATCAGGGCCGCCTTCGATTCGTTGGACAGAACTGTTCTCTGGGATTGTCTATTGAAGAAGGGTGTGCCTGAGAAGTTTATTAACATCCTAAAAGCTTTATACACAAACACCTCAGGCAGAGTGAGGGCATACAACCACCTTTCTCCATTCTTCCATTCGAGCAGTGGGGTTAGGCAGGGTTGCCCAATCTCACCATTCCTCTTCAACTTTGCCATCGATGACATTCTGAAAACAGCTCTGATGGATATAAGTAATGGTGGTGTGGATCTGTTGCCTGGAGAAAGACTTCTCGACATTGAGTATGCGGATGATATTGTCTTACTGTGCGAGAATGCCCAAGCCATGCAATCCGCACTTAATCAGTTGGCAATCAGTGTCCGTAGGTATGGTATGTGCTTTGCACCTTCGAAGTGCAAAGTACTTCTACAAGACTGGCAGGATTCTAATCCTGTACTCACTCTGGATGGTGAGCAGATTGAAGTAGTCGAGAAGTTCGTGTATCTAGGTAGCTGCATAAGTGCTGGTGGTGGCGTGAGTGATGAGATCAATGCACGTATAGTGAAAGCCAGAGCGGCTTATGCCAATCTGGGCCATCTTTGGCGCCTTCGTGATGGGAGTCTGGCTGTAAAAGGTCGGATCTACAACGCGACGGTGAGAGCAGTTGTGCTCTATGCTTGTGAAATCTGGCCTCTCCGAGTTGAGGATGTTAGACGACTCTCTGTGTTCGATCATCGCTGTCTCCGAAGGATTGCTGGCATCCAGTGGCAACACCATGTCAGCAATGCAGAGGTCCGGCATCGTGTGTTCGGGCACAGAGACGATAATGAAATTGGTGTCACCATCTTGAAACACCGACTTCGGTGGCTTGGACATGTTCTACGGATGTCGTCCCAGAGAATTCCACGTCGTGCATTATTTGCCGACTCTGGGACTGGTTGGAAAAAGTGGAGAGGTGGTCAGTATATGACATGGTGTCGTGGTATGAAAGCTGCATAGGGCTGGCTTGTGTTGATCCTTCACGACTCCCTGGCTGTGGTCCGAGAGATGGTGCAACACAGTGGCTAGAGACGTTATCAGATATGGCTCAGAATAGAAGCCAGTGGCGATCCTGCTGTAACTATTTTTACTTTCTTCATAAAAAGTGGTTGTATCTTCCTTAACTGAAAGATTTCTTCTGAGTGTACCTTTTCATCTCCCCCATTATTGTTCTCTTTTTTTATAATTCCCTACGTTCATTACCTTTTTTTCCTTCTCTCTAACTTCTCATTGTTTTGTGTGACGCATATATATTCGGTGCCCTCTTGTACCAATATTTGTGTTCAAATAAATAAATAAATAAAGCGCCGGAAAATCGCTTTTCTTCTTCTAAATTTCATAAACAACAACTTCGCCACTAGAAGGCTATGAGTAGAACTTCTGTGGCAATGATTGTATGCACGTGGCCATGTGAAAGCATTTCGAGAGGAAGAGTTCACTTTCCCCACTCTCAACCGCACAAGGGCATTATGATCATCCAAGTATAATTCTTGGATAACAATGTAATAAGTGTACAATAATGTTTATTTTTTTTTGAGATAACTTTTACTTTACATTGATTTATCAAAACTAGATACGAAATAGAAAAAAAAAATTGGTGTAGATACTAATTTTCTGATATGTGAAAATGCCAATGTGAGTGTTGATTATCATTATGTGGAGGATAAAATTATCGTCAGGTTAGAGTACAACTTACCAATGCCTAGTTACCTTAATTTGTCCTTATGTACTAACTCACAAAGAAATCATTCTTTAATTACAACTTTACATTTTATTTTAATACCGATCATAGACTATTCACATTGAAGTGCAAAACGGTTTAGATTAATAAATCTGATTTCTCCCAAATGCTTTGGGGTCTGGCCGAGAGTGGAGAAAATCAACTGTACCTCTCAAAATGCTCTTACATAACCACATACATACAACCACTGCCACGGAAGTCCTACTCACTCCCTTCTAATGGTGAAATTGTTGTTTATGAAATTTAGAAGAAAAAAAGCGATTGTCCGGTACTTTAACCGGGTTAGTAGAAATGGAGGATCCACCTAGGGGAGTCGGAAAACCCTGATTCCAAACCAGTGGTACAGATTGGGCTGACTCCAGGATCCTGAAATGGCGTATGAACATTTTATTGGTCACCGGCTACCATGAGACTACATCTCCTTACGTTACTCCACTGCCTTGTGTATCAGACCTTTGGGGTCAAAGGCTCCAGGTGTGGCCCATTAAGAAAACCACCTGCTTCGGTTTGGGCACCCGGGTAGTATCCCAGTCCTAACACAAATCAAATGATTTATGTTGGCGCATATATGTTCGGTGCCTCCTTGAACCAATATTTATATATTCAAATAAATAAAAATGATTGAGATTTTGGTTATTTAAACATTGATCACTTAGTCAGTCGACCATAAACAACAATTATATTACTAGGTTCAACGATCACCACTACAAAATTTTATTGAGGTCCTACCTCTACAGATATACAGTTTAGGAAGTTCAGATGTAATGAGGAGAGGAAGACCAAAGAACACATTACGTCGGGAAATGGAAATAGATATGGGAAAAAATGAACAAGAATTGGATGGGACTAGAAAAGAAGGTCCAGGACAGAGTGGTTTAGAGAATGCTAGTTGATGGCCTATGCTCCATTAAGAGTAACAGGCGTAAGTAAGTCCAAATGTACTTCTTTTAAACAAAGTAAGTAGTCATTCATGGTTTTGAAACTAATGTTATAATATCGTTAAGAGTAAGTGACACTTGGATCATGAATTCGATTCTAAAATAGCTCAATGAAAATTATTATTATTTATTATTATTTTAACACATAAGTATAGGTACAGGGAGGCACCAAATACATATGCACCACACAGATCTCATTTGATTTGTATGAGGGCTGTGATACTGCTCGGGTGCCCAAACCGAAGTAGATGGTTTTTTTAAGAGGTCACACCCCGAAACTTCGACCTGAAAGTCTGATTCACAAGCAGTGGAGCATCGTAAGGAGATGCAGTCCCATGGTAACCGGTGACCAACAATTGGTTCATACGCCATTTGTTTCTTCAGGATACTGGAACTAGCCCATGTGCACCATTGATTCGGGATCCGGTTAAAGTGCCGGACATTTGCTTTTCGTCCTCTCATTTTCGTAAAGAACACCACCGCCACGAGAAGGCAGTGAGTAGGATTTCTCTGGCAGAGGCTATATACGCATGGCCATGTGAGAGCATTTCGAGAGGGAGAGCGGACTCTCCCCACTCTCGGCCGTACCAGGGCATTTGGAGGCTCAATGAAAAAGAAAATAATTAAATTTTTTTTTGTTTTTGATCATATTAACTTACATCATCAAATGACTTCTTGAAAGATTGATTAACAGGATCTATATTTTCAGAGGAATTCCTATCTGATAAATGGACTTCATGAATAGTTTTTAATCCTATTTTTTCTTGAAGTTTTATTAATAAATCAGATGAAAGATAATCAGCTATTAATTGATAAGCTAAATTTAAACATATTTGATGTGATAATTGATTCGTTGATAATAATTGAGCTTCTTTAGAGTCTATTTATGAAATAAATAAAAAAACAGAATGATAAAGTTTATCGGTAATTATATTTTAATGTCAATAAGCAACTTGTGATTGTAGTAACAAAAAAAAAAAAAAAAAAAAAAAAATAGAAATATATATTTGTACTTAAACCCTCAAATGCCCAGGTACGGCTGAGAGTGGGGAGAGTTCGCTCACCCTCTCCAAATACTCTCACATGGCCACGCGGACACAGCCTCTGTCAGGGAAGTCCTAATCACTGACTTCTCGACGCGGGGGTGTTGTTTACGAAAATGAGAGGACGAAAAGTAAATGTCCGGCGCTTTAACCGGATCCCAAATCAATGGTGCATATGGGCTCCAGTATTCTGAAGGAACAAATGGCGTATGAACCAATTGTTGGTCACCGGTTACCATGGGACTGCATCTCCTCACGATGCTCCACTGCCTTGTGGATCAGATTTTCAGATCGAAGGCTTCGAGTGTGGTCCCCTAAGAATATTCACCTGATTTGGTTTGGGCACCCGAGCAGTATCACAGCCCTCACACACATATCAAATGAGATCTGTGTGACGCATATGTATTTGGTAACTCCTTGTATCAATATCTATGAGTTAAAATAAATAAATAAATAAATTTGTAGTTACTGTCCTGATATTAAGCCTGTTCCATCTATTTTCAACATAAAGAGCACCTAATTATATGTAAGATGATTCTTGAATGAACAGGTATAAGATTCATCACTTATGCAACAATTAAATGTAACATTTTCAGCTATTACATATGTCGAACTGTCAGTATGTAGGCTCATCTATGTATTGTATTAAATAAATGAACTATGTAAAGTAACTTCACAATTCATTTAACAGTTTGTTGCCAAATCGGTTAATACAAACAACATAATTATTGATCACTACATGGATCCATACAGTACACAATTTAATACAAATGTTCAGCATCTTTTGGACAACATGAGTGTAGTTTACTAGTGACAGTGCAGTATATGAAATAATATTCATTTCCAAAACATTTTGTATCAGACTTTTAACCGATTACACAGTGAGAAGTTGACTGAGGTGAGAAAACAAGAACATATAAACTTATCTTTGCATTCAGCACTAACAGATTAAGGTCTGTAAGGAAAGTCGCTAGTATTAAGTTTATTTTATTACATAGGTATTAGTACAAGGAGGCACCAAATACATATGCGCCACACCAATCTCAATTGATTTGTGTGAGGGCTGTGATACTACCCGGGTGCCCTAACCGAAGCACGTGGTTTTCTTAGGGGGCAACACACCGAGCCTTCGACCTTAATGTCTGATCCACAAGGCAGTGGAGCATCGTAAGGAGATGCAGTCCCATGGAAGCCGGTGACCAACGATTGGTTCATACGCCATTTGTTCACGCAGGATACTGGAGCTAGCCCATGTGCACCATTGGTTTGGGATCCGGTTAAAGCGCCAGTCATTCGCTTTTCGTCCTCTCATTTTCGTAAACAACACCCTCGCAACGAGAAGGCAGTGAGTAGGACTTCCCTGGCAGACACTATATACGCATGGCCATGTGAGAGCATTTCGAGAAGGAGAGCGGACTCTCCCCACTCTCGACCGTACCAGGGCATTTGGGGGCAGTATTAAGTACACTATAATATTATGTAAAATTTGTATTGAAGGTTTGTGTAAAATATAAGGAATATGAATACTTCCATAGTTAGCTACAATTGTGTTATAACTGGTGGTTGACAATTATAACTGCATCACCAATTGTTATGTTGGAATCGCTTATCACTTATACTTGTAAAACAAGGAACCATTGCAATTTTCACGACGCAAAAGTAAGAACACAAAAACTGGTATAAATGAAGATTTATTAAACCCAAAACACGACGATGACCCTGATCATAAAACACACTCATTTATATATTAATTTGTACACCCATGTTCATTAATAATGATGATGAACCCGCATATACGAAAAATACAAGTCAGTCAGTCAATTACAACGTAGGACCAGGCACATATATACATCGGTCCAAGTTGCCACACCTCATTAGCACAGCAAGACGAACACCAGATTCATAGAAGCAGTTAACTCAATAGTATAATATATAAAGGAAAGATTCCATATAAGGATATAGTACAGGAAGAAAGAGATAGTTCGTAAAAAGATACAAATCACGTGCTACATGTCATGTTGTGTATAGTTCATGTCAAGTTAATACAAGAATACAATATATTAAGCATAATAAAAGAACATACTGTAAAACAAAACAAATACTAAACTGAGTAATAACACATTGAATTTAAACGGAAATACTATTCAACAAAAGTCATAATGAATAGAAGAATCTGATGTTGCCTTTTAATCCCGTCATAGCAATTCGACTAAAAGGATGATTGCTAACAATTTTTGAATATTATTGTCTTAATTATTCCTTAACAAGTGGGACTGTAATGCATAAAATTTTACCAGTTTTTTTTGCAGAAGTACTGTTCATTTTGATCGTGTGAAGTACATACCATTAGTCCAATTCAAGTAGCCTGTGTGTCATAGCATATTAAGACAATATAACCTACATACTCTTGGATGATATGTCCTTTTCTACATAGCAGGTCTACACCAAAAAAAAACAAACATTTAGTTGTTTCCAGAATATAATCTATAAGAAGACTAAGGATCAAGTAATAATGATTAGCTTTGGGTACAATATATTCGGAATAGTGAAGGGATATGGTAGTATATTTTCAATATGTTGTGAAAATATCATTGTCTTTTTATTAGTTTGGCAGAACAAGCTATTAGTGACTCGTGGAGAAATCCTAATAGCTCACTTTTATCTGGAGCTTATGCTGATAATATCTAGAAAGAATATGAAAGTTTCACGATTAAACCAACCAAGCTAGGAAAACAATCTAATAAAATATTCATAAATAAGAAGTCTTTACCTTCAATCTACCCTAATTTCGTTAATGAGAGTTAAACTTTTAGACAAGGAGTTTCATAATTGACCTGTTAGAGATTAGTAGCGAGCAGTCCTGAAAATGAGAAATGCAACGATTGGTGGTGTGAAACACACTTGTCAAATCCACTAAATTATATAGAGCAGACAGCAATTTAACAACGCGCTGAGACATCCTAAGATTGTTAATTAGTATCACATATACTTTAAGCAACTTGGTTTCCTAAACCAGTGAGTGCCACAAATTAGAACTAAATTACTAACTAGCTATGCGAGTTGAAGTACATCGTTTAAGTTAAATAATGTCTGGGTTTGGGTACGCTTATTTAGGGATAAAATTCACTGACTGAGGTTTTAATTGTCCTATTGACCATTGTATATTTGGTTACGAGAGGATTTGGTGTGAAAAAATGAAAGGGAGCTTTAAACAGAAGTCCTACTCACTGCCTTCTCGTGGCATTACTGTTGTTTACGAAATTGAGAGGACAAAAAGCGAATGTCCGGCACTTTAACCGGATCGCAAACCAATCGTGCACATGAGCTAGCTCCAGTATCCTGAAGGAACGAATGGCGTATGAACCAATCGTTGGTCACCGGCTACCATGGGACTGCATCTCCTTACGATGCTCCACTGCCTTGTGGGTTAGACCTTTAGGTCGAAGGCTCCGGGTGTTGCCTCCTAAGAAAACCACCTTCTTCGGTTAGGGCACCCGTTCAGTATCACAGCCCTCACACAAATCAATTGAGATTGGTGTGGCGCATATGTATTTGGTGCCTCCTTGTACCAATATCTGTGTGTTAAAATAAATAAATAAATAAAACAGTAGTTAAAAATTCGACAAAGAAATTGTTTGTGGATAAAGCAACAAGAATTTCGAAAAACTCTTACTAGAAGTAAATTCTGGAACCCGTGAATCTTCACTTCTTCCATCGTACTGATCAGAAGACGAACTAGTAGCAATTAATCGAAGCTGAGAAACTAAAACAGGATTCTTGCAGTGGAAGGAAGCCTTATAAACAGCAGATACTCTATTCGACAACCACTCGATTGCCTTAGATTCATTAAACCGATAAACAGATATACTACCAATACCTTCGAAAAACAAATGGTTAAGATACATAAGGATTGTCAATACAGGTTTATAATTTGCAGTTTGTGAACTAAAACAGTTTTCCTAGTTTACTTTATAAATACACTTCGGTATGCAATAAACACGAATGAATTACACAATATGCAACGTATATTTTCGACTAGCCATTAAATGCAATACGAATCTCGACAAACAAAATGCGATAAAATCTAACCCTTCACTATTTCTCAGTTATACGTTCTGTTTTCGAATTTCTAAGAATGAGAGATTTGGATTCTAGATCCACATATTGTTGGTTGATGGAAATACACAAAAGGAACCGATGACATAGATGCACTAGACTTTCCAGGAACAATGAAGAGGTGGGTGTCAAAAAGTCACACGACTTTAACTGGGATTTGGGATCCGATGTATGTAATCTGATTTAGCGGCTATGTAGTATAAATAGCCCTCGAATAAGCGTATATCAAGCATGGGCCCCTAACCTTATAATTGTTTGCTATGAAACAGAGAAAACAAATGATGTCGATATTAGTCCGTCATTATCATTCTCGATAAAAATGTGAGGAAAAACTATTACTTAACCCCGAGTACTGTAAAGAAAAACCAAGTAAACGCGAGATTAATTTGGCTACACACAAAAAGCCCAGAAGCAAAACTACTTAAAGCATAAAAGACACGAAATAGGATGGATGAAATCTACTAAAATTCATTATTTGAGTACATAATCACAATACACACGATTCACAAAAGGACAGACTTTGACATGATACATCAACTAATACGATGAATACAGGAATTTTTTTATAACATTCTAGATCTAAAACCTTAATCTTAAGCCAACTTACTAGACTAGTGCATAGTGAACAGACTGGTATCAAACATACCTAAAAATGGTACGGGGAAGAAAATATTAAAAAGTGACCTGATTATGGTGCGTGAAAAACCATGTGCAATAACTGTATCTAGTAATCCTTATGAAGAATTATTTTAAAGATGGCCATGACTGATGATCAGAATAAAGACTTACACTTTTTGTCACAAATTTCTTCAAGACGAGTTTCTATGTTGGGAATGTTGTTGAAGACATCGAAACATCCACCAATTTCACCCAAAATGGCATCCCATGAAATAAACTTGTCCTAGAAATGTAATTCTTTAAAGTTGAGAGACAAACATTTTTTCTGCAGAATGATATGAAGAAGAAGAGAGGGTCAATTCGACTACAAACGTACATTCCACCATCTACATGTCTTCATATGACAAGTATTTAAATATATACCAGATTTGACATTTTCACCAAGTATCCAAGAACGACATTTTTCTTCTATTTTCTGAATTTCGAAAAGCTCTGAAGACTGACCATCCCAGAGATACAAACAAGGTACATCTAAAAAGGTTTCGAGGCTCTAGTTTACCAAATAAACGACGTCCTACCTGATCTTGGATGTTTTAGCTTAACTAAGGAACACTTTGAAGGCTGACATGTAACGCTATCTACGAACATAGATAATAGCCATGAGAGACGGTACCTGGAATTACGAACACAGAACTACAGCCAAGCATTTCAAACCACACGTTAGCGTGTAATTGAAATCACACCCTTAATGCTTCAGCGACCTTGACCAGCCTTCATCAAGGCGGTCACTTTGTCTTTGAAGTGAATCATGTCAGTTGCGTGTCTGTTGGCTACATCACTGTGGTATTCAAAAGTGGTTCAAAATGGTTCTGGATGAAACAGAAGAAATATTTGATTAACCGGCTTCCCTATTTAGTAACAGTAGATCACAGATGCCGCTACGTAAGAGCCCAATTATATATGACGACAAAAGATGAAAAATACTGGTAAATTGCAGTGAAATACTGTCTTTGGTCCTCAAGAATATGTCACATCTCCTAAATAAGGACTTCTAAGAAGTCGCTTAGACTACCTCAGACGGTAGCGTAATGTCTTTGATGGGTACTGCTTCTGGCCATCGAGTAAAACGGTCTACGCATGTTAAAAGATAAGAATATCCATTTGAATCTGGTAAAGGTCCTACCAAATCCAAATGAACATGGTCGAAGCGAGCATCGGGAGTTTTAAACAAGCCTAAGGGACATTTGTTATGTCTAATAACCTTAGATTTCTGGCAGCTTACACAGGAGCGTGCCACTCCCTCACGTCTTTATTCATACCAGGCCAGCAAAACCGTTCTGCTATAAGCTTGATGGTTGCACGAACACCCGGATGAGAAAGTCTGTGCGACGTATTGAAGACGTTGCGTCGATATTGTTTCGGCACGATTGGGCGATGCCTACCTGTAGATGTGTCACACAGTAAGGTTTCCTTACCTGTTCTCATCTGTTTAATGCGCAGTTTAAGTGTTGTTGACGATAACTCGTGCTGAAGATCACTGTCTTCTTTTTGAAGTTGGGCGAGTTTTAAAAGGTCGATTCCTTGAGAAATGTTCAAGGAATTTATACGAGACAAGGCGTCTGCAACTACATTGTTTGCTCCAGAAATGTGTCGAATATCTGAAGTAAACTGAGAAATGTAGTCCAGTTGTCGAGACTCACTTGGTGAGTACTTGTCTGCAGATGAGCTTAAAGCGAAAGTAAGCGGTTTATGGTCGGCAAAAATGGTGAATTCACGGCCTTCGATATAGTGTTGAAAATGCCGGACAGCGCAATACATAGCTAGGAGTTCCCTACCGAATATGCTGTACCTCAATTCAGTGTCTAGTAACCGTCTAGAAAAAAATGCCTAGGTTGCCAGGAGTGGTTAACCCACAGTTGTAAGACTGCTCCGATTGCTGAGTCCGATGCGTCTACTGCGATACTATTGGGCACTTCAGGGTCCTGATGAGCAAGCATTGTTGCACGAGCGATACGTTCCTTAACCGTGGAGAATGCTTTTCGTGCGGTGTCATTCATATTGGTGGATTTCACATTTCCACGAAGTTGGTCGTTAAGGGGTTTCATAAGTAACGCGCATTTCGGTATGAACCGTCTATAAAAATTTACCAGACCGTTAAACGTGCGCAATTGTTTGATGGTGGTCGGTTCTGGGTAATCCAGAATGGCCGCCACTTTAGTTCTAAGGGGTCGGATACCTTGCGCGTCTATAGTGTCCTAAGAAGTCTAAGGAGTCGGTTCCGATTTGGCATTACCAGATGTTTACAGTAATGCCATGTTTTTGTAGTCGGTCGAAAACAAGGTCCATATGCTGTAGATGTGATTCTCTGTCCGGACTTGCTATTAGACAGTCATCAACATACGCATGTACGAAGTTGAGACCTCAGAAAACGTCATCTATGAACCTTTGGAAAGTCTGTGCCGCGTTTCTCAGACCGAAAGGCATTCGCGAAAATTCATAGAGTCCGAAGGGCGTTATAACAGCGGTTTTCAAAACGTCGTCAGTGACCATATAAATTTGGTTATTGTTATGTTCTCTACTTGAATACGCACGAACACTATATAACTGATGACACTCGAACGTTAGAACCTCCAAACCCTCGCAAGCAAGAAGACGAAAGACGTTTTTAGAGCACTTGTTTGACAAGAATCAAAATATACAATAAAACATGCGTATTTATACAATTATATATACAATCAATATTGCTATGGAAGTTTTTAAACATTAATCGATAACTTAGTCAATCGGCTGTTAATTTAAATATTTAAACATCTGATCGATAAGTCCGTCAATCGACTATGTACGTGGGTGGCTTCTCGGTGGCCATCCCAACACCTCCCCCGAATAAGACTATTTCCTTGGGTCCACTTGTAGGCTTACGACTGGGTTGCGACGGCGTTCAATTCTGGTTGTAATTTTTCTACGTAATGTATCTAACCTTTTTTCTCTTCGGTATTCCGGGGCGAACATGTTGTTGTCGATTCTGTGACCAACTTCACCGGTAGGTTTACATGATTATCTCCGGAACGTATCATTCTTTTATCCTTTCTCATTTGGTTCGTGTGTCTGACACAGCCTTCGAAAGCTCCTGTTATCCGATACAAAACTCTTCCTAGTCTTTGTACAGCGGTCCCTGGTTCCCATCGATTTTTCCCAAGATATGATTTTAGAAACACTTTATCGCCAACGTTAAAGCCGCGCATTTTTTGATTTGGCCTGTACCTGTTCACTCTTTTAGGAGGCAACATCACGTTGAAAATAGTTCGAATACATCTTCCGAACATTGTTTCGGCTGGAGACTTTCCATCTGGGACAGTATGGTTCGGAGTGCTTCTGTAAGTCTTTAAAAATCTAGTGATTACTTGGCTAGTTGGCCCCTCGTCTCCCTCTTTCAGTAAAGCTCTTTTGAAGGTGTCGACGAAGCGTTCTGATTGTCCATTGGATTAGGGGTGGTAAGGTGGGGACCGTAGATGCGTTATGCCGTTCGAACTGCAGAATCTCTTGAATGAGTCCGCAACAAATTGTGATCCATTATCAGTTACCAAGGTTTCTGGGACTCCAAAACAACTAGATAAGGTAGACAGCTTGTGAATAGTTTCCGAGGCTGTGCTATTCGGCATGCTGTATATTTTTGGCCATTTCGTATAGGCATCCACAATAATTAAGAATATTTTTACCTTGGATTGGGCCAGCGAAATCTACATGAATTCTCTTCCAAGGTCCAGTAGGTTTTTTCCATTGTTGAGGTTCACATTTCGAAAAGTTTTTCGCGGCTTGTAAACTAGAAGAGCAGTTTCAGCATTTGTTTTCCGTATCTTTATCCATCGAAGGCCAGTAGTCGTAACTGCGCGACAATGATTTCATCTTGTTTATCCCAGGGTGACCACTGTGAAATTGCTTGAGGATTTTATGTCGCAATAATTCTGGAATAATAATCCGGTCACCAAACATAATGCATGAATCCACAATCATGAGTGAATCGCGCCGGCGGAAATATTGTTGCAGTTCTCCTTGTAAACGACGATTTGGCCGCTTTGAGAGGAGATAACCCTTAACTTCTTGTAGTATTTTGTCATTTCTTGTGGCTTCTTTAATAACTTCGAACGTAACCGGTAGACCATCTACTGCGTCTTCCAAATTTCGATTTACTTCTGTCTCTGTCTCAATCGCTGCCACCAAAGTATCTTCTTCATGATTCGCTTGGGAACCAATGAGCCTAGACAAAGCATCAGCTTGTCCGAAAGCAGTAATAGGTTGGTATTTAATTTTGAAGTCGTAACCCAATAATGTTGTTCCCCATCGTTGCAGTCTGTTTGTAGTATAGGCCGGGATTCCTTTCTTTGACCGAAATATGGCTAGCAGCGGGAACCGGCATCCAAATATCATCTTATGAAATTTTCTTACCGCAACAATAATTGACGATGCTTCCTTTTCGATCTGACTATAGTTGCGTTCTGTTGTAGTTAAACACCTTACTGCATGCGAGATTGCTTTCTCTGATCCATCAGGCACGATATGCGAAATACTTGCTTCAATGCCGTAGTTTGAAGCATCTAGTGCTACTACAATAGGTAGGGATAGGTCATAGTGTGTCAACGACAGATCCGAGAGTAGCAGTTTTTTGATCTTCTCGAAAGCAGTTTGACAACTTTCAGACCGACACCACTTTGTGTTCTTTGTTAAAAAACTAGTTGATGGGGCACGTAAACGATGAAGGTCAGGGATAAAAGCTCCATAATGACTAACTAGCCCCAAAAGGATCGAAGTGTGGGAAGATCTGTAGGTCTCGGCATGGCCTCCAAAGCTTGAGTGTTTTTCTGGATCTGGTTTTCTCCCGTCCTTATCGATGATAAAACCGAGGTAGCGCACACTCTGCATGCAAAAGTCACATTTTTCTTCACGAAGTCGGAATCCATATTCAGCTATTCTCGATAGCACCTGGTCGAGCTTCTTTTCTAGGTCTATTCTATGAATGCACATAATTATTATGTCATCCAGATAAGCTGCAACACCAGGGAGATCATGTAGCACAGTATCCATCACCTGTTGAAATGTGGAGGGGGCCGTTTTTACTCCAAAAGGTAACCGATTATATCGGAATAGGCCCTTGTGAGTGTTTATAGTAAGCAGATCTTTGCTTTCATCCGCGACAGGAATCTGCAAATAAGCTTCCGATAAATCCAGTTTTGCAAACACCTTGCCTCCATTCAGCTTAGCAAAAAGATCCTCAGGTATAGGCAAAGGATACTGGTGGGGTTCTAGCGCATCATTCAGTCCAGTAGAGTAATCTGCGCATAGGCGGACACTGTCGTTTGACTTCTTGACCACCACAAGCGGTGCAGTTCGATTGGAGAAACTCACAGGTTCAATGACACCCATTTCAACAGTTATACGCTTTAACCAAGTCGATTTTCGAGAAGAGAGTTGTACCTTTCAAGGTAGCTGTCAAATCGTGAATGTGGGGCAACGGGTAACGATCAGGAATGGTTTTTGCAATCGTTGCTGTCCTTTTTAGGGACCATGTGCAACGGAGATGCCTATAGGCTATTTGACGGTCGTATGATTTCTAAGTCTATCGTATGTTCAAATTCGCTTTTTGCCAGCCTTAGTTTTTCGGTGGCCAGTCGGCGTGCTTTAGAGAATACAGGTGGTCCTGTAGTCGTAATGT